CAACATCGTTGTCATCGTCAGCTTCAAATAATCATCACCGTCATCATTACTGTTTGTCATCGTCATTTTCATCACCATCATAATTACCGTCAATTTTATAATATTGATTATTAATACATCGCGGCTGGCGTCGTCATTGTCATCTTACTCATTAGTCTGGGGAAAAAACTAGAGTGACTTCACTGGCAACAATTATTTCATACCTTCTAAAATGTAACCAATGCACTTTCAGCAATTGCACCACGTCATGTCCAAATATAAATCATTATTGGACCCAATCCGATCAATTTAGCCTAGTTTTCTATTTATGTCAATGTCATATAGATAAAATAGAGCGTTTATTTCAGTGCTTTGAATCTGGTTCCTTACTCTCTACGACATTTGTGCGGTGAGCTTATATTTCACATATTTTCATTTCACATCAGTTTACATTTTTAATATAACACATGTATGATGACTTATCGAACAGAAGGAATTATTACAATAACGTATCGTAATTTTTTATTGAACTGTTTGCAAACATATCGTTATGCAACGTAGTTGAATGTTTGCCAAAATAACGCATATGTTCATGCATGAGAGTGCGTACGTTTGTGAAAGTGTGTGTTATGAAAGAAGTAAATTTAAGATGTAAAGTCTGTTGTTTGCAATATTGAAAAGTTTCCGTATTAAATATACACACTCTTGTTATCTCTTAACTCACTGTCACTTTAAACGTTGTTCATGTTTAAGCTTAGGTATTCTATTTTCTTTCTGTATGCTATTCTGACTCTTATTGGTCAATGTTTTCCATTTATACGTCTTACTTTATTTTCCCTCTCTATGCACCTGCGCATTACAATATAAACTAACCAAACAGAGAAAATCGTAATCCTCTAAGTACGCCCAAAACGATCTAAGAAAATATTCTGCTGTTCGTCACTCGTAATTCATGGAGAAAAACAAAGAAAACATCTTATATAATAAACAAAATTTAAATCATATCATAAATTTCTGAAGACTTTTTAATCAATTTTATTTAGCCAACAATACTGTTTACAGAGAAATCTTCATACAACAGAAATCCACTAAATGTGCTGTAGCGGTCCCCGAATATGCTCCGGTCTGTCTTTGTGTTTTGTATTGAAACGTCTTCTCCTTGTCTCAAATATACAATTACCGTCTGAGAGGATTGTCCGTAATGCAAAAATAATTTTGCAACAATTAACCCATTAACGACAAAATGGCCCCAGGTATCCGCCGGATCTTGGTTATGTAAAGTTACAAATAATACATACGTTCCAGAGACTGGAGCCACAAATGTTCCGTGGTGTGGTAGATAACCATTACCAATATTTGTAACAGCGTGGTCAAATATAATATCTTGGTATTGACCCAAATGTTCAAGGTCGGTTGTAACGGTCAGACACTCACATTGATATTTCCATAGACTCACATTATAAGAAATGGTCCCTAATCCTACCTAAAATTGAGTTTTCATGCTAAAGAGCTAATTTTTCTAGCAGAATGAAATGCCTGACACATGAAAATGATCTTGTTATATAGGGGTAGCCAACCAAATTTTTTGCAAAATGACTTCAGAGAGGATTAACCCCTTTTCATTGAAATTTTCTGCTGATCACAGGACTGACATACACTTTTTATAAATGTAAATATCCAAGTTAAAATTATCACAGAGACTCATGAAATATTTCATTTTCTTCAGAAAACAGTGTAGTGTTACTTTTTAAATTAGTTTTTTACTTAAAAATACCCCACTTCCATCCAATCACCTCATATATAAATTGACTCATACGGTTTTCCCTGCACTTTTTTTTCAGCCAATCGCTGGCCATGTTACAATGCGATACCCTGACCCTGAGGCAAAAATTGCAACTTTGGTTTCGGCGCTTGCTCTTTCCACCATATTATGTTGACCTTAAAGATAAAGCAATTTTTCTAGCACTAGCCATTGGTATGAACTAAGAAATGTAAAACACTTGAACTCTCTTAAGATTTTTCTTCAGATTTTATAAAATGAAAATCTGTAAGTCTAAAATGGGACATTTTACATCAGTATTTCAAATATTGATAAAACAATAGAATTATATAAAATTATAATTCTTATAAAATATTGCTTAAAATGATGATAAAGTTATAAATGAATCAGTAGGAACTTTTATGCATGATGTATAATTATTATAATATTCTGTTCAAGAACAATATTTTATCTGTTTATAGCATATGTAACATGGGATCTAGTATCAAATACCTGCCACCCAAATCAGAGATCAAACGTGACCTTTAAAGACAATTGGCCTTTATTCGGCCGTTATCATGTTCTATTTAATCAATGAAGGGTTGCTAAAGAGTTGCTTTTATTTGCATTACGGCCTTTATTTGAAAGTGGTTTTTAACAAAGGTTAAACTGTATTATATCCCTTTCATAATAGACTTATTCACTTTTTGAATGTGAATAAAAGTAATTTTCTAAAAGATAGCTTCATGGAAACAAAATCATTTTTGTCTGTACAACTAAAACAGCATATCTGTAAAATATAAATTGTATAACTATATTTTGTATTCCATTCTTTATCACGGTATTACAAATAAATGCTTCTTAATAAGTATACAACAATATTCATTAGGCATTCTAAAAGCAAAAGGTTTACTGAATTATAACTGGTCATATCTACCTTTTTCTTCAAAAAAGTATGTGGCTTTGTCAACTTTCCCTTAAGTTTTCGTAGTGTAATTTTGCTTTCTGATTTCTCGGTACTTTTAATGCCATCGCTGCTCCTTCTAATTTTCCAAGTAGAACCTTAATCTCGGAAGTCTTCAATGCATCGTCAGATTCAAGTTTTTGAATTTGCTTCCCTTCAGAATGTATGATATGCTCAAGCCTTCCTATTTCTCGTGCATGGTTTTCGGCCATAGCTTCCATTATAGATGAAATGTATATCTTAAAATCCTCAAATTCTTTAGCAATGTCGCGAGAAACTGTAAGGGACTTGTCAGCATTGTAAGCAACCGAGGAAGTCACAAGATAAAACAATATTGTTGGAAGTACAGTAAATGCCATTTTCAGGTACGTGTATCAATTTTGAAAGATTTCTCTTTAAGTTTAGTTTAGAAAACAATTAAAGGCCCTAAGCCATTACAAAAACTTATTTTTATATTTTCAAAAGCTTTTTAATGTTGATGTCTTTTATATTATCCAAACATTTATTAAATGGCCAATAACCTGAACCATCTTTTTTATCTGTTACTTTTGGCAATTAGTACAGTAATAGCGAATATGTATTTTGTGTATTAGTTAAAATACTACTTTGTTACCATTTTGCTACTTTTATGATAAATTATTTCACATTTACCACTACTTTCTTCAGGATCTGACATTTATTTAAACCATTATTCAAACATAGTCAAATTCATTAATCTCTCTTCCATACAAGTTTGGTAATTTTTCATGCGTAAGATTGAATTACTAAATACCGCCCGCTTAAAAGCAAATATATATAAAACGAATATGTCCTCAGAAAAGGGGAAACATGAGCTTTAAATGGTTTCAAAGCATGTTAGTTGCTTTCCATCTCAAAAAAAGAGTGCTGTATTTGACAATATTTGTCATAAAAGTAGTAAAATGTAAACAAAGTAGTATTTTGATTCCATACAAAATACTTAATTACTTTAACTATACTAATAGTCAAAAGTAACAGAAGAAGCACATGGTCAATGAGTATTTGTTTAACTATAACAGGACCCCAACAATAAAAAATGTTTTAAGAAATAGAATATTAGCACTATGTATTTGTCTGTTTGTCTCTCTGTGGACATTTATTTTTTAATATGACGTGGTCTTTTGTGGTCATTTAACGTCTTTATTCTATAAGCCATAGACTTAATACATCAAAGGAAACGTTATAGTTTGCATTTATATTAGACCATTTCCTTTGATTTTGACCTTGTTCATTTTACTGATAACCGTTATCCTCTTTAGAGTGACGAAGAATGGTTTCAATACAGTAAAATGTAAAATTCAATATCAATGCATCGAAAGGATTGTCCTTTAATAATTAAAGTTAAATTTCGTACAAAACAAAACAGAGTATGTATTCTATCGCACGTATCGTTTGAAAAAAAATGCAAGTAAATCTAATGTTCTTCTTAAACTTATTTTGTCAAACAGTACAATCGAAAAATCGTTGAATAGCAGAAGAAATTGACAACAGACATACTCTTAACATACATTAGCACGAAATCGGCAGCATTTATCTTAAAGTGACTTCACTGAGCTCGAGGTTCTTTGGTATGACGGACTGAAAATATTTTTCCAAAATGTGTGTACAATTTGATGTATCTGTAGACCATGAAATTAATCCCTCTCCCTGTTTTTTCCAGATTCATAATTTTTATTGTGCAAAATATCTTTAAAAAATGACAAGACTTTGCAACGCTTTGCGCTCAAAGGGGCTACGAATCGCAAAGAATATTTATTTTCAGTTTACTTCTGACCATATTTCTCAATAATCCTTTGCATATTTATCATTTTAAATGCTTTCACTTGATATATTTAAGAAATTTGAATTTAATGTTTTTAGGAGTTTTGGCATTGGTGGAATGCATTTAAAAAATGAAATTTAAATAATTGAATTAATGGCTCTACATTTATCAGTTAGGTGATACATTTTCATGTATCTATTTATGTCATATTCCATTGTCTTGTTATTGATAAGGACTTTTTTTAAAGGTACTTGAAATGTTATTTAAATGGAAAGATAACATGTTAAAAGAGTGGCTGCAAACCAAATTTTCTGAAGGATTTTGTTTCAAAAGGATGATTAAATTTTAAACTGAATTTATTTAGCAGTTTCTATAAGTTGTTCGTAGCTTGGTCTAAAACAAAAAAGAGTCTTTTTTACTAAATTGTATCCAATCCGAAATTTCCTTCAATTCCTATTTTATCCCCGGTTTTTAAACCAATAAACGAATTAAATCTAATAAATGAAAATAAGTTGACATGCAACAAAATTTAGTTTATCTAACCAAACTTTTTGGCATTCATTACTCTATGCCTTTAGAAATATTAATTTCAACTACAAAAAAAAGTATATTACAAACTACAAAAATTTGAAACTGTTTTAAAAATTATCAGTTGATTTAGGATGTCCAGTCAAATTGTTTTTAGCCAACAAAGCTGTTAACAGAGAAATCTTCATACAACAGAAATCCACTAAAAGTGCTGTAGCGGTCCCCTCTTATGGTCCTGTCGGTCTCTGTGTTTTGCACTGAAACGTCTTCTCCTTGTCTCAGATTTACAATTACCGTCTGAGAGGATTGTCCGTAATTCAAATCTAGTTTCGCAACAATTGACCCATTAACAACAAAATGACCCCAGGTATACGCTGTGTCTAGTTTATCTAGTTTTTCTACTGTGATAAAGAAAACATACGTTCCAGAGACTGGAGCCACAAACGTTCCATGATGTGGAATGTACCCACTGCCAATATTTGTAACAGCGTGGTCAAATATGATATCTTGGTCTTGACCCAAATGTTCAAGGGTGGGTGTAACTGAGGCAAAAAATGCAACTTTACTTTCGGCGCTTCCTCTTCTCACCATCTTACTTTGACCTTAAAAATAAGCATTTTTTCTATCACTAGGAAATTGTATGAACTAAGAAATGTAAAACATTTGAAATCTCTTATGATTTTTTTTCTTCAGATTTTAGTCATTTTATAAATAAAAATATGTAGGTCAACAATGGGCACATTTTCAATAAGTATTTGAAATATTGATAAAATAATAGAAATGTATAAAATTGATATTCTAATAAAATATTGCTTAAGAATGTTGATAAAGTTCTAAATGAATCAGTATGAACATTTATATGAATACTAATATTCTATTCAAGAACAATATATTATCTGCTATATATAATATATGTAATATGGGATCTTATATCTCACACCAGCAACACAAAAAAGATCAAATATGACCTTTATAGACAGGTGGCCTTTATTTGGAGACTATCATGTTTTATTTAATCAATGAGGGGTTGCTGAAGACTGGCCTTTATTTACATTATAGCCTTTATTTGAAATTGGTCTTTAATACAGATTTATCTGTATGACAACCCTTCAATTATAGACTTGTTCCACTTTAAGAGTTGCTTTGTTTACAATCATGTAATTAACTTTCTGAATATGAATAAAGAGTAAATTTTCTAATAGATAGCTTCATTGAAACAGAAATTTTAGGCTTACCCCTCTTCTTCTGGGAGACTTGTGATTTGGTAGAAGTTTCGTCGCTGTGTGATTTACCAGTACCTATAAAATCATTGTTTTCCTTTGCAGTCATTTTTTCTATTTTTCCTTGCAGATCCTGTATTGCAGAATCCTTCATAGCATTTTCAGATTCAAGCTTTTGAGTTTGCATTCCTTGAGCATTTATAATATCCTCAAGTCTTTGAATGTCTCGTGCATGGGTTTCGGTCATAGCTTTTTTAAAATCGTCAAATTCTTTAGCTATGTCACGATTATCTGTTACTGGCTTGTCTGAATTGTCAGCAACCGATGACGTCACATGATAAAACAACATAATTTTCACCGGTGAAGTGAATGCCATTGTCAGACAAGTTTTCTGACTGCCAGAAAGTCCAGATTTAACTTATTAGTAAATTATTAATTCAATATAATATGAAGAACGTGATAGTAAGATAAGAATTCTTATAAAGGTACTTGCTTATAGTTTAATAGAGGCATTTTATGTGTTCCTTATTTAATTTGTTTTGTCTGTCATCATCAGTAAAATTATTATTATTATAATTAGATATGCCATTAAAAATATTAATTCATCAAAAGCAACAGTAGGAGAAACATGTCGACATCTTTGACATCATCAGCTTCAAATAATCATCCCCGTCATCATTACTGTTTGTAATCGTCATCTTCACCACAATCATTATCTTATTGTCATTTTGATCAAAAATTGGCAATGAATGTTGCACTCTCGGTTTCATTTAGCCTTGACGATACTTAAAACACAAGTCACTGTCCTCGCCAATGACCCCGTCCCACCGCCAACACCAGCTTAAGCATAATTCAACATTTAAACATGAAAATGGTGAAATTTTAGATTTAAAAAGAAATCCGCAGATGTGTTCATATGGCGATTTTCATTGAACCTCCAATGTGCCACATAAGTGCCATTCAAAACATTACCTTGTGTCTATATTTCTAGTCTTATTGTTTGATGCTTACTTTAGTTTGGGAACTTTTATACTTTAATACATTTATACTTTTAGCTTTATACTTTCTTCTAACTACAATTTGGTTCGTAGCCCTGTAAATAACACCCGCGAGAGTTGACAGAGATAGAGAGTTTATATTGTTTGCTAAAGCATGCACGAGCGTGCATGCTTTTGTAGCTGAAACATATTCGTGTACTTGCTTATCACTGTTGCTGGTGTTGTTAATTATCCTCTCGCAAAATGATCAAGAGGTCCAAACAAATTCTCTGCACATAGATTGCATAAACTATCCTCAAGAATCTACAGAGGATAAGTATTTTTTGAAGACTTCTTCAAATCATAAATACATCACACACTATTTTTGAAAGGAAAGTGGGTTGGGTTAGGTCTGGCTGACAATGATTTGCTTACAAATAGTATATCAATGACAGGAAATGATTACTATTTACTTTATGATCAGCATGAACATAATGTATAATATAGCGGTCTCCAATTCTATTTTTGAATTTTCTTTCTTTGATCATTTATAATATTATCAAGTCTTTCTCGTGCATGGTTTTCAGTCAGAGCTTCTAATCTTAATGAGAGGTATAATTATCTTAAATTCCTCAAGTTCTTTAGCAATATTCGAGACTAACTTCGCATGAAGCTTCCATACCTTCTTCCACCTAAAAACAATGTTTTGAATATCTGTTACTTGTTTGTTCTTAGCATTTAGGGCGGAATGAAGTAAACTAATATAATTCCAAATAAATTTCAACTATTCTGGTACTCATTTTTCACCCCGAACAATTATAAAAACGAGACAATAGCTTAACAAATAGATCACAAACGTACTTTATACATGTATAGCATGAAATCAGCAGTATTTTTCTTATTAATATCAACATTTTAATGATTTAGGTTGGATGACAAGTTACATGTAGGTTTCTATGTCATATGGCTTTATTGCCGTGTTGGGCTTTCTTTAGGGATTCTGCTTTTCTCTATTTTATAGCAGTAATTACTTTAAGGTTTGGTAGAAGAAAAAATTGTAAAAGAGTGGTCGCAAAATTTAATTTACTGAGTTTCGTTTCAAAAGAAAGGTCAAAGCTGAATACACTTAGACATTTCTATAAATTGTTCCTAGCAGTCTACAGTCCAAAATGAAAGTAAGATACCTTTAACAATATTCATAATCAAATTAAGTATAGTATGACATATATGGAAATATAGGATACAAGTATGTGGAAAACTCTTGATATATGAACATATTTTGTTCGACATTTGAAAGTCATTTAAAAAATGATAATATAATATAATTATCAAAATTTAGAAATGATGTATTGTACTATTATATGATAAATTTTTGAAGACTGTCCAATCAATTTTATTTAGCCAACAAAGTTTACAGAGAAATCTTCATACAGTAGAAATCCACAAAATGTGCTGTAGCGGTCCCCATATATGACCCGGTCTGTCGCTGTGTTTTGTACTGAAACGTCTTCTCCTTGTTTCAAATATACAATTACCGTCTGAGAGGATTGTCCGTTATGCAAATGTAATTTTGCAACAATTGACCCATTAACAACAAAATGACCCCAGGTATCCGCTGCTCCCCAGTGATTTAATGTTACAGAGAAAACATAGGTTCCAGAGACTGGAGCCACAAATGTTCCGTGGTGTGGTAGATAACCATTACCAATATTTGTAACAGCGTGGTCAAATATGATATCTTGGTCTTGACCCAAATGTTCAAGGTCGGTTGTAACTGAGGCAAAAAATGCAACCTTGCTTTCGGCGCTTGCTCTTTTCATCATATTATGTTGACCTTAAAGATAAAGCACTTTTTTCTAGCACTAGCCATTGGTATGAACTAAGAAATGTAAATCATTTGAAATCTCTTAAAATTTTTCTTCAGATTTTATAAAATGAAAATAAGTTAGTCTAAAATGGGACATTTTCCATTGATAAAAACAATAGAGATATCTAAAATTATTATTCTTATAAAATATTGCTTAAAACGATGATAAAGTTCTAAATGAAGTAGGAACATCTATGTATGATGAATAATTATTATAATATTCTGTTCAAGAACAATATTTGATCTGTTTATAGAATATGTAACATGGGATCTTGTATCAAACACCTGTCACCCAAAGCAGAGATCAAACGTGACCTTTATAGACAATTTGCCTTTATTTGGACGTTATAATGTTCTATGTAATCAATGAAGGGTTGCTGAAGAGTGGCCTTAATTTACATTATGGCCTTTATTTGAAAGTGGTTTTAACTAAGGTTAAACTATATTATATCCCTTTCATAGTAGACTTATTCACTCTAAGGATTGCTTCATTTAAAATTATGAAATTGACTTTTTGAATATGAATAAAAGTATTTTTTCTAAAAGATAGCTTCATGGAAAAAGAATTATTTTACCTCTCTTCTGCAGGGAGACTTGTGATTTTGAAAAGGTTTTTCTAAACGTTTCGTCGCTTTGTGATTTCCCAGCACTTTTCAAAACAACGTCCTTCTTGACAGTTATTTTTTCTGTTTTTCCTTGCAGATCCTGTATTGCAGAATCCTTCAAAGCATTGTCAGATTCAAGCTTTTGAATTTGCATTCCTTGAGCATTTATAATATCCTCAAGTCTTTGAATGTCTCGTGCATGGGTTTCGGTCAAAGCTTTTTTAAAATCGTCAAATTCTTTAGCTATGTCACGATTATCTGTTACTGGCTTGTCTGAATTGTCAGCAACCGATGACGTCACAAGAATAAACAACATAAATATCACCGGTGAAGTGAAAGCCATTGTCAGACGAGTTTTCTGTCTGCAAGAAAGTCCAGATTTAACTTATTAGTAAATTATTATGTCAATATATATGAAGAACGTGATAGTAAGATAAGAACTCTTGTAAAGGTACTTGCTTATAGTTTAATATAAGCATTCTTTGTGTTCCTCATTTAATTTGTTTTTCTGTCATCATCAGTAAAATGATAATTATTAAAATTAGATATGCCATTAATTCATCAAAAGAAACAGTAGGAGAACCAACATGTCGACATGTCGACATTCGACATCGTCTGCTTCAAATAATCATCACCGTCATCATTACTGTTTGTAATCGTCATCTTCATCACAATTATCATCTTATCGTCATTTTGATCATAATCATTATTATTGTAATCGTTATTGGCGTCATTGTTGTATCTAACACAAAAGTCAAGGAAGGTAACTAGAGTCATATAATTGACATCAATTGTTTCACACCTTTTAAAATGTATACAATGATCTTCAAGCATTAGCACCAGGTTATGTTCAAATATACATCATATCTGGTTAAAATGTTATCAATTCATTGTATGTCTATGACATATTCATTTAATTTATTGCTCATTTCAGAACGTTTACGGTTGGTTCCTTACTCACTTACTACATTGGTGCAGTAAGCTTACCTTATAATTATTTCACATCATTAGAGACGTTGTCTTTACCTTTTTATTATAACATATGTAATGACTAATCGAACAAAACCTAGTATTACAATAACATACCGTCCATTTATATTGACATATTTACAACAATACTGCGCGTGTTCGTGCCTAAGGGCGTCATAAAGAAACAAATTCAATGGCAATTTTACAAGACTATTACAATAACATATCGTAATGTAATGAGAGTGAATTTTTGCCAAAATATTGCATACGTTCATGCATGCGTATGTGCAAGTGTGCGTTATGAAAGAAATAAATTCAACGCGTATTTTGTTGTTTGCAATATTGGAAAGGTTAAATATTTAATTAACACCTTAACTCATTGTTGCTTTAAACGTTGTACATGTTTTAGTTCAGGGTTTTTATTCTCTTTATGTATGCAATTCTGACACGTCATGAATAATGTTTCCCGTTTACAATTTCTACTCTATTTTCACTTTCTTTGCACCTGCTCGTCATCATAATATAATATATACTAACATAATCATATACTAACCAGAACGTGAAAAACGGTCTCCTTAAAACGCTAAACACGACAAAATTGACAATGAATGTTGCACTTTCGGTTTCATTTAGCCTGGACGATACTTAAAACACAAGTTACTGTCCTCGGTAACGCCCCCGTCCCACCGCCAACACCAGCTTAAGCATAATTCAATATTTAAACATGAAAATGGTGAAATTTTAGATTTAAAAAGAAATCTGCAGATGGGTTCATATGGCGATTTTCATTGAACCTCCAATGTGACACATAAGTGCCATTCAAAACATTACCTTGAGTCTATATTTCTAGTCTTATTGTTTGATGCATACTTTAGTTTGGGAACTTTTATACTTTAATACTTTTATATTTTCTTCTTACTACCAATTTGGTTCGTAGCCCCGTTAATAACACCCTCGAGAGTTGACAGAGATAGAGGGTTTATATTGTTTGCTAGCGTGCACGAGTGTACATGCTTTTGTAGCTAAAACATATTCGTGTAATTGCTTATCACTGTTGCTGGTGTTGTTAATTATCCTCTCGCAAAATGATCAAGAGGTCCAAACAAATTATCTGCACGAAGATTGCATAAACTGTCCTCAAGAATCTACAGAGGATCAGTTTTTTTTGAAGACTTCTACAAATCAGCAATACGTCACACACTATTTTTGAAAGGAATGTGGGTTGGGTTTAATCTGGCTGATAATGATTTGCTTACAAATAGTATAACAATGACAAAGAATGTACAGACAGGAAATGTTTACAATTTATTTTATGATCAGCATAAACATAATGGATAATATAGTTATTATAGTGCTGCAAATCAGCTTATTTAACTAGCCTATTAAGAGGGATTAGTGGTCTATGTCAGCTAACAGCAAGTTTCATATACCAAAATGTTCGTCTGGATCTGTAGTTTCTGGAATGGATATTCATTTGACCCAACCCCAATGCAAAGCTAAGATATCCAAGATGGCGTCAAAGATGGCCACCAAATCACTAAATAGTCTAGTATATTTACGTTGCTTATTTCTTTTATAAGTTTTTTTTTAAATCAATTGAAATTTAACATGAAATTATTTATTCTTTAACTCACTAATGCTATAAATTTATTTATTTATGACTTTATTGCATTTTCTCTAGTTTTCATCGCCTATGTTTTTAACGACAGAAGAGAGAAATCTGTTGCAAACTGGGTAACCTTTTCTTAATATGTGTAACTTATTAGTTTCTTTTTGTTTAGACTGAATAACATTCATGATTTTGTTTAAAACAGCTTTGAAAATGTAACTACACATTTTTAGAAAAAGTGAACTATGTCGTAAACCTATTTTATTTATCTAAACCCATATACAAAGTGGGTGGGGTATTACAAACGGAAGTCAACTGTAAATTAAATTCTTCTTTGTTTTATATAATAATGAAAAGTGATATTAAAAATATTAACAATATTTTGAATTGGTTAGACATGGGACATCTTGCCTTTCATAGATAATGCCCTGCATGTGTTTTAAATGTTAAAATATCTCTGTTATTTTTTATGCACAGAAAAAGGAACTAATTTACTGACCTGCAATTTGGTATTCGCGTTGACCTTATGCCTGCCCTTGGTTAAGGATTTGTTTGCAAGTTTGTTTCTCCTTAGCCATAAACATTCATTGTTGGACTTCAATTCACTGTTCAAGGCCCATGACCTAAGCATTGATTTGGAAATAATTAAATCCCTTTATTAACTTAAAGAATTTCTCGGGACAAAATTTATCTCCACAACCATTGAGGTAATGCACTTGAAAGTAAATACATCTTTTGAGATCATTATTGTAGGTTACTTCCCTCTAACATGTTTTTACAAAGAATAATACTTCTTTATGAATAAGAGAATTCCTTTATTATGCAGGTAGTTGATTTTGAATATTTGTGCGTGCTGTCCGACATGCAGCTCTTGTTTCAAAGCATTGCATTAACGTATGATAATTTACAAGTGAATCATATTTGGAATTTTGTCATTATTGATTACGGATATCATATATACATTAAAAAGTAAAATGTAATTTACTAGAACATTTGAAATGGGTACGTAATTCATTTTACAGCAGAGGACTCTCCTGCTAGGCTGGATCTGAATTATGAATAAAATAGTATACATATAGCGAGTGAATTGAAAATATCTATTATGAGAGTTTCATTTTAGCTAAACTATTCGACGATTAAGGAGAACAATCCTAGTCCTCCGAGCGTCGGCGCAACCACTTACGTTAAAGTTTGAGTACCACCACACATATTTTCAAAGTCCGACCATTGACATAGTGCCCTCAACATGGACACTGGAGGAGACAACTCTGTCAAGCATTTGACAGAATTAAGCCCCTTTTTCAAGTTCTATCATCGTAATTCAGATAGGTTTTAAAATTTAATTGTACTTTAAAAACTCTTTTACTACTAGGTATAAGCAAGCCTGATTTCTGTGGAGATGACAGCTTATCTGCGATATGCAGGCCTCATAACCTCTGATCCCCTTTCAAAATTCCATTTTATTTAGTTTTGCGCATTGTTTTCTTGTTTAGGGCACACGCATTCTTTCACTTGGGGACCGTACGCCGCTTTTCATGGAATGGTACTAACGTGTCACATTGCTTCAAGCATCGAGTACTTTGGAAATGGTCATTAGGCTGTACCTTTTAGTACATATTTACATGATAATTTATGTGTTTTAATTATTTCGTCTAATGTTACTATGACAATAGTTAGAATTTCACTTGGCGTCGATTTACTAGTATTTTATTTACACTGTCTCGTCATATAAGAACTTACCGGTAGTGGTAATTGCAAGCTACTATCAACACCCCCTAGCACCGGCTTAAGCAGAATTCTCAATTTTACATAAACTGGTTCATTTTTAAAGGTAGTAAAGAAACTTCCAAAGATGTATTCATACGAAAGTGATCATTGTATCTTCAATGTAAAATGTTCGTGATATGTCACAACATACAAAGTATTGTTTTCAAGTAATAGAAAAAAAATGGGCGAAACTAAATAAAATGGATTTATAAAACGGGATGAAATGTCAAAGGACAATCTTTAAAAGCAGGCAACATATCCAAAGGGTTATTATACACTATTAAAATAGGTATACTAGAACCCCACAACTCGAAAAGGTCAAATAAAAGGAAATTAAAATACCACAAATACAATGTAATGCCAAGCTGAACAATTTTCATTTAAACATTATCCGCCTACCATGCAGGTTTTATGAATCCAGGGGCCAACAGAGTAATGGTACATGTAGATAAAAATATCAAACATTTCATTTGACTATTTAGTCAATTTAAGAGATTTAAAAAATTAAAGACATTTCATTTGACATAGAAAACCTGTGTAACATATAGATAAATGAACAGAGATTTCTTTTCGCATACTGTTCAAAGCTATAGGTTTACTTACAACAAAAGCATGCTTATTAAATTAGTAACACATTCTTGATAGATCTAACAAGATACCTCTTATGATATCACTCTTTCAAAATCAACTTATGTTTATTCATTAACGTAAAAATTGACATTCCATATAATCAGTATAGTCACACTTTCTCGCATCCACTAAAATAGCTTCAAGTTTTGTTGAAACATATTTTTTTAAATCGTGAAATTCTTTATCAATATCACGATTTTCTGTTACTAGCTTGTCAGTATTGTCAGCATCCGATGACGTCATGAGATAAAACAATGGTACTATCAATTGCATTGAAGAAAATGCCATTGTCAGACAAGAATTCTGTCTGCAAAAAGGTCGAAATTCAACTGATTTTAGTAAATTACTAAATCAATATATATGAAGAGCGTTATAGTTAGATAAAATATTAAATAATTCTTGTTATCTCTTAACTCACTGTCACTGTAAACGTTGTTCATGTTTAAGCTTAGGGATTCTATTTTTTTTATGTATGCAATTCTGACTCTAATTGGTTAATGTTTTCCATTTATACGTCCTACTTTATTTTCCCTCTCTATGCACCTGCGCATCACAATATATACTAACCAAACAGAGAAAATCTTAATCCCCTATTAAGTACGCCCAAAACGATCTAAGAAAATATTCTGCTGTTCGTCACTCGAAATTCATGGGGAAAAACAAAGAAAGAAAAAATATTATATAATGAACAAAATTTAGAAATGATGTATTGTTTTATCATATCATAAATTTCTGAAGACTGTTCAATCAATTTTATTTAGCCAACAATGTTTACAGAGAAATCTTCATACAACAGAAATCCACTAAATGTGCTGTAGCGGTCCCCATCTATCTTCCGGTCTGTCGCTGTGTTTTGTACTGAAACGTCTTCTCCTTGTCTCAGATATACAATAACTGTCTGAGAGGATTGTCCGTTATTGAAATAAAATTTTGCAACAACTGATCCATTAACAACCAAATGACCCCAGGTATTCGTTGCGGCTATGTGGAGTAATGTAACAGATAATACATATGTTCCAGAGACTGGAGCCACAAATGTTCCGTTGTGTGGTAGAAAACCATTACCAATATTTGTAACAGCGTGGTCAAATATGATATCTTGATCTTTACCCAAATGTTCAAGGTTGGGTGTAACTGAGGCAAAAAATGCAACCTTGCTTTCGGCGCTTGCTCTTCCCACCATCTTATGTTGACCTTAAAGATAAAGCACTTTTTCTAGCACTAGCCATTGGTATGAACTAAGAAATGTAATACACTTAAACTCGCTTAAGTTCTTTTTTTTTCAGATTTTATAAAATAAAAAAAATGGACTGAAAGTAGATAGGTCTACAACATTTTCCATACGTAATTCAAATATTGATGAAAACAATAGAAATATATCAAACTGATATTATTATAAAACTTTGCTTAAAAAAATGTTGATAAAAGTCTAAATGGAACAGTATGAACATTTATGTAGGATGAATAATAATATTCTGTTCAAGATCAATACATTATCTGCTATATAAAATATGTAATATGGGATCTTGTATCTCACACCTGCCATCCAAAGGAGAGACCAAACATGACCTTTATAGATAAGTTGCCTTTATTTGGAGGTTATAATGTTCTATTTAATCAATGAAGGGTTGCTGAAGACTGGCCTTTTTTGCATTATGGCTTTTATTTGAAAGTGGTCTTTAACACAGGTTTAACTGTATAACATCCCTTTCGATATAGACTTTTCCACTTTATTTAAAATCGTGTAATTGACTTTCTGAATATGAATAAAGAACATAAATATAACATGAATAAAAACAGCTTCATTGTTACAGAAATTTTAGGCTTACCTCTCTTCTTCTGGGAGACTTGTGATATGGTAGAAGTTTCGTCGCTGTGTGATTTACCAGCACTTTTAAAACCATTGTTTTTCTTTGCAGTCATGTTTTCTATTTTTCCTTGCAGATCCTGTATTGCAGAATTCTTCACGACATGGTCAGATTCAAGCTTTTGCCGAACGTAGATTGCATATAATGTCCTCACGAATCTACAGCGAATCAGTAATTAAACCCATGCACAAATAATGTTGTAAGGATGGTATACTAGTACTTGAAACAGCTTGTTCGTCCATCCCACCGTCCTGCCAACCGGCCGTCTGTCGATTTTTCCTTGTCCGGCCAATTACTGAAGATTCCTTTAACCCACAGTCTTCATATTTGGTATTCAGATTAGTCATGACTACTAGATGATCCCTATAGATTTTGAGGTCACCAGGTCAAAGGTCAAGGTCACAGGGGCCTTGACTTATAAAATCTTGTCCGCCCTATAATTTAAAAATCTTTTGACCCACAGTCTTCATATTTGTGATGGAGGTAAGTAAATTTTGAGGACACTGGGTCGAAGGTCAAGGTCACAGGGGCCTTGAATAAAAATAAGCTTTTTCGCCCAATAACTTAAGTTTCCTTTGACCCACAGTCTTCATATTTGAGATTGAGATTGGTCATGATTAGTAGATGATTCCTATTATTTTTTAGGTCACAAGGTCAAAGGTGAAGAGCACAGGAGCCTTAACTAAAATAATGCTTGTCCGCCCAATAACTTAAAAATCCTTTGACCCACAGCAGCCTTCATATTTGTTATAGGTTAGCCATAACCATTTGATGACCCCTATTGATTTTGAAGTCACTGGGTCAAAGATCAAGATCACAGGGGACTTGACTATAAAAAGCTTATTCTCTCAATAACTCAAGAATCCTTTGACCTTTAATTTTCATATTTTTTCTTTCATACGTTAGTGATAACCATTAGATGACCCCTATTGTTTAGACGAAATTGGGCTTAAGGTCAAGGTAACAGGAGCCATGAACTTAAAAGCTTGTCCACTCAGCTTTGGAATGCTTTAGTTAACAGTCTTCATATTTGGTATTGAGGTTGGTTATGACTAGAAGATGACCTCTATTGATTCTGATGTCACTAGGTCAAAGGTCAAGGTCAGAAGAGCCTTTATTAAAAAGGTTTTCCGCCAAATAAATTAAGATTCCTTTGACCGACAGTCTTCATATTTGGCATTGAGGTTAGTCATGACCATAAGTTGAACTCTATTGATTTTTAGGTCACGGGGTGAAGGGCACAGAAGCCTTGCATTAAAGAATTTGTCCGCCCAATAACCTTAGAATCCTTTGACCCACAGTCTTTTATTTTTGGCATGAAGGTTTGTCATGACCATTGGCGGCCCGTATTGATTTTGAGATCCCTGGGTTAAAGGTCAAGGTCAGAAGAGCCTGAACTAAAAGTGATTGCCCACGCAATAACTTTTAAATCCTTTGACAGACTTCCTTTTTGGCATGGAGTTTTGTCATGACCATTTAATGACCCCTATTGATTTTGAGGTCATTTGGTAAAGGGTAAGGTCACAATGGCATTGACATCAAAATGTTTTGACCGTCCAATTACTTAAGAAGCCTTTAATACACCGTCTTCATATTTGTCATGAAGGTTGATCATGACCATAAGGTGACCCTTATTGATTTTGAAGTCACTGGGTCAAAGGTCGCAAGGGTCTTAAGTTCAAAGTTTGTCATCTCAATCGATTAATAATGCTTTGGTCAATAGTCTTTATATTTGGTATCGAGTTTGTCAAGTAGTTGACCCCTATTGATTTTTAGGTGACTATGTCATAGGCCGAGGTCACATGGGCTTTTACTTCAATAAGCTTATCTGCTCAAATGTTTAAGAATGTCTGGCCACAGTGTATTAATGTTGACCTTTTCACATTTGAAGCGTATATTTATGTTCATATATATTCATCATAAACACCCCCAGGCAAATCTGCATGAATTGGGGATGGAAGTCATGTAGTGGCATGACCTCAAGTTAAGCAGTGGCATGACTTCAAGTCATGCTGTGGCTATTTCTGTTTCGAGGTCAGTAGGTCAAAGGTAAAGGTCACCTTGATCTTTGCCACTAAAAACATGTAGAATACTTAACTTAGCAATGCACTGGCTTACTACCTTCAGAATTGGCAGGGAGGTTGTCATTGAGCTCTAAATGACCACTGTTGATTCTGACAGAGTGGTATGCGGGACATTCACGCCATTACAATGGCAGTTCTAGTTTTGGACGATTTCTACAAAATCAGCAATACATCTCACACTATTTTATAAAGGAAAGTGGGTGGGGTTAGGTCTGGCTGACAATGATACTTTTTGCTTACAAATAGTATATCATTGACAAAGATTATTAAGACAGGAAATGTTTACGTTCTACTTTATGGTCAGCATGAACATGATAGTAAATATCAACGGTCTCCGATTCAAGTTTGTCTCGAAGCCTGCGCAATGGCCATGTTAATAATCGTTATCATCATTGCTAAAGTCGTCATCTTCATCACAATATCTTTGTCATTAATATCATCGTCATTTTCTAAAACATTGCCTGCGTCATCATGATCATTTTTATCGTCGTTATCTTCTTCGTCGGTTGCATCATTAACTGTCAAAACTTTTCTACTTTCATTAGATTTTTTATTCTGAAAAAAGTGCGCAGAGACAATATCTACAGCCTTTTGCTACCTATCATAAGTTCCATTTGCTAAAAGACTAATTAAATAAAGTAACACTGGTATATTTTGGCATTTAAATTTGACGTTGCCCTTTTGATGTTGACATTGTCCACGTGATATTTTTTAATGATAACCATTGGCCTTCTATAGATGTATAATGGTGCTCATACAGTAAAAATCAATGTATTGAGAAAGCTTTAAATGCTCATATTCAACGAAAAATTTCTCAAGGATTGTCCAGTAATTATTAAGTGTTGAATTTCGCGAACAAGATAAAACTGAATCTGTACTTTATGGATATATCGTCATTCTACTGATTGGTATTCATTATGAATCTTAAAAGGGGAAAAAAGGAAAATTTTCAATTCTCACCTTTCAACAACACTTCATGACCTTTTATTCAAGTCATATTTCTTTCACAAATGCATAAAATTTGCGTCTCCATTTTAAGAGATTTTTTATACAATTGTTTGCATATGAGAAATGTAATACAACAATAGAGCAATTTGGTTGATTATTTCCCTCACAGGTTAATATGACTTATTGTCGCTGGTATATTTCCAACAATTAGTCTTTGTTTTTGTTTCCGGTTTTAAGCTATACATATAACTTAAAATCATTGTTATTGTGAACAATGTTTTGCGTGTCTGCAACCTTTTTTTTCTGAGCATATAGGACGCAATTATTTATTTTATTATGTTTTTTTTTTCTTTGCAAAATAAAAAAAGAGAAAAGCATTATAACGCTTAACAATCAATCGTGCTAGGAATCGCACAAACATAAGCATATTACTTAATAAACCTTTTCCATTTTAAGTGTTCACTTGATTTTTTTTTCAAGAATTATAAATTTCATGTTTTTGTAGTTCTTTTAATAAAAAGTAATTTTACTGATTTAGTTAATGGCTCTACAGTTATCAGACAACTTACATGTAGATGTCTTTGTCAGATGGCATTGTCTTGTAACTGATTAAGACTTTGTTTTAAAGGTACTTACTTTTACGTTTTGTAGAAAGAAAACATATAAGAGTGACCGCAAACTTAATTTACTAAAAGTGTTTCTTTAAAAAGCAAGATCAAAACTACATTTATTTATTAATTTATAAATTGTTCCTAGAAGTCTTATAGTCTAAGACAGAAATATAACCTGCTTTGTCAATCCAACAAAAATAATGCCATCAATTTCAATTTCATCTCCGATATTTGAGCAGCGGAACGAATTGACCTCTTGAGGATTATTTTTCAATGCCAGAAAGATACCTTTAAAAATAATCGTAATCAAATTTAGTTTAGTATGATTCATGGAAAATGGTAATATAATATAATGATCAATATTTAGAAATTATGTATTGTATTATTATATCATAATTTTTTGAAGACTTCCCAATCAATTTTATTTAGCCAACAAATACAACAGAAATCCACTAAATGTGCTGTAGCGGTCCCCGAATATGCTCCGGTCTGTCTTTGTGTTTTGTATTGAAACGTCTTCTCCTTGTCTCAAATATACAATTACCGTCTGAGAGGATTGTCCGTAATGCAAAAATAATTTTGCAACAATTGACCCATTAACAACAAAATGGCCCCAGGTATCCGCCGGATCTTGGTTATGTAAAGTGACAAATAACACATACGTTCCAGAGACTGGTGCCACAAACGTTCCGTGGTGTGGTAGATAACCATTACCAATATTTGTAACAGCGTGGTCAAATATGATATCTTGGTCTTGACCCAAATGTCCAAGGTTGGTTGTAACTGAGGCAAAAAATGCAACTTTGCTTTCGGCGATTGCTCTTCCCACCATAGTGTATTGACCTTAAGGATAAAGCAATTTTTTTTCTAGCACTAAGCATTTGTATGAAATAAGAAATGTAAAACATTTGAAATCTCTTAAGTTTTCCTTCAGATTTTATAAAATGAAAATCTGTAAGTCTCTAATAGGACATTTTCAATCAGTAATTCAAATATTGATAAAAACAATAGAAATATATAAAATTATTATTCTTATAAAATATTGCTTACAAATGTTGATAGATTTCTAAATAATGACATATAGTGTTAACATTTATGTATGGTGAATAATTACTATAATATTTTGTTCAAGAACAACATATTATCTGTTTATAGAATATGTAACATGGGATCTTGTATCAAACACCTTCCACCCAAAGCAGAGATCAAACGTGACTTTTATAGACAAGTGGTCTTTATTTGGCCGTTATCATGTTCTATTTAATCAATGAAGAGTTGCTGAAGAGTTGCTTTTATTTGCATTATGGCCTTTATTTGAAAGTGGTTTTAACAAAGGTTAAACTGTATTATATCCCTTTCATTATAGACTTATTCACTCTAAGCGTTGCTTTATTTAAAATTATGAAATTAACTTTTTGAATATGAATAAAAGTAATTTTTCTAAAAGATAGCTTCATTGAAACAGAATTATTTTT